GTTATAATGATGAAATGTAATCTCTTTTTGATGTAACCATGGCAACAATCTGCATTTATTTGATACAAAATATTGCAAAAAGGGGGGTGAAAATGTCCCAAAAGTATCAAAAATTTGGTTCAAAGGAGAATTTCAATCCATTAAAGTGATACCTTTTCTGAAACCATAGACATTTATCTATCAAGAGGCATAGGCAGATCCAGGGGGGGGGGGGGGGGGGGGGCGACCCCCCCCCTTTCATGGGAAAAATTTGGTTGATTATATAGGGAATCACTGAAGCATGACTGGAGCGGGCCCCCCCTTAGGTCAGTCAGCGGGCCCCCCCTTATGAATAGTTCTGGATCCGCCACTGAGAGGTCCAAAAAAAATCATATGCATTTCTGCTCATTTATCCATAAAATTGAATTGAAAAGTTTGAGGGTCAAATCTTTGTTGAAAAACACTACAATAATTTCTGGACCTATGGGGGGTACGGATGTGAAAATACGGACTGTCAAACAGAAAAATGGCCTATAAAACATGCAAAAAACAATCTTGATAATAATATAAACCCACTTGGAAGGCTATATTATTCTTCAACTATTTAAAAATCAATTTTATTGTACAAAAACTTTCATATTTAAAAAATTCACCATGGCCAAAATGTGAAACTAAACTTCTAACTGTTTATTTCTACCTTTAGACTGATTTCATAAGTGATTTTCCTTTGTTTAAAGTGTTGAATTCTGGACTTTCCAATTACCCATTGAAAGTCATGTGTAAAAATTAGAAAAAATTTTGAAGGGGGAATAAAAAGTTAGTATGTCCCAATTACTCTTTTTTTCGAGATATTCATTTGTTATTTGATCTCAAATTTATTCTGTAATGTTCAAATACATAATACAATAGGCCTGACATATGTATTGTTGCACATGCACAAAAGCCACCATCCAAGACATAGGTCACGGACTTACAAGCATGTCTACTTATTTTACAGAATCAGGTCACAATACGAAACATAGAGATTGACCATGGTTCTGAAGCTATTCATCAATTAAATGCATCAGACTGTTTGCAAATAAGAAAAGAATATTTACATCCACAGTGGATAATATTTGCTCCAAGGTTATAGGCTTTGTAAGATGTAACACCATCAAATTGGGGCCAATCATTTACAAATCATTAATCAAAAGGTAGTTCAACAGAAATTAATCATGAGACTGGAATAAAGATTATTTAACATTTCAAATCATATAATACATTTTTACCATGATCATTCTATGGACCTGATGTTGAAACATTTAATTCCTCATATAGTTTGTATCGTTTATCTTTTATAATGACTGTATAGATAGATAATTGTAAAAAGAATAAGGATTCATATAAAATCCAACTTATTTTCACTACGCTAAAAAAAACATGACTGTGTTCAATAAAATAAACTTTATTCCATTTATAAACAGTAGCTGTACTTTTTAATATGAATATATAATAATAATTAAATTAAATAAATGCATTTTAACAAAAAAAATTATAAAATAATAAGAAATAAGTTTAAATGTGAGCATTCTGATGCAATTAAAGATTTCAAATGATAACTTAAATAAATCATAAACAACACTACAGCCAAACAAACGAAAAATACTTAAACCAATAAAACATTTGTATAAACTGACTTATTTCTATTAAACAGTATGTTATGAGTTTTCTAAAAAAAACTTGTAGGAAGTTATTCTACGAAATGACTGGGTCTAAGTGGGAATATGTATATAAGGTATATCGTGGCTTACACTTTCTGCACTTTGTTAGAAAAAAAAGTATTAACAAACATACCGAACTCCAAGTTAAATTCAAAAAGGGGGAAGTTCATAAAACCTGACAAAATCAAACATTAGACTATATCAACCAATGGAACGAATTGGAAAACAAGTCATATTCCTGAATGTATTCTTGTTCTTGCTTGTTAAATATGTGCTGAAAGGTACTTTATTATGTCATAAGGCTCCTAACAGGCTTGGATTTCTCAACAATAGAAAATCAATGAACAAAACAAATACACAAACTGATAAACATTTCAGATATCAAATTATCATTATTTTTTTAAGGAATTGAAAATTAAAATTGTGCATATAAGGTTGAAATATATAAACCTTTTTTCATATCATAAACTTGATTAAATTCATTGTACCTATACATGATACAAAAATCTTTATAAAATAAGAAGATGTGCCAATTAGACAACCACCCACCAGAGACCAAGTGAAGTAGAATTTAGCACTATAGGTCACTGTATATGACTATATCCTTCAACAATGAACAAAACCCATACCACATAGGAAGTACATATATTTGAGTGTGTAAAAGAGAACAGGTCTATTTCATTATTTTCTAGGTGGATAAATCAATCTTTGTTTAATACCAATGATAGTACCAATCGTTATTATTAAACTATCCTATATTAGAACAGTTGATGATTATTTCATAAAAAGTTTTCCATAAACTCAAACATGAACAATTTTGTTTGGCCTTAAAACTGTTATGATTAGAGTACCACTGATGATGAGTTTTATGTAGACCAAATGCTTATCTGGCATACCAAATAATAAACCTGGTATCTTTAATGAGTTTTTATCTATGAAAACATTCAAATCACACCTTTACTTTGAAAAACATATCTTGATGTGCAAGATAAGGCTGATTTCATATCTAAATATTACAAAGAAGAAAGTAATTTTTTGTTATTTTCTTTCAAATTTATTGCAATTTAAAAAAAGAATTACTTTCTTCTTTGTAATATTGCATCCTTCTTACACCAAATTATTTTATTCATCTTTTCATGATTTTAAACTATGACCTGTAGAAAATAATGATTGTCTGATAATAAGAGGACTATATATATATATATATAACCCAATTAAAAATTCCCTTAACCAAATTAAAGTAAAGAGCTGCACCATGAGCACATGATACCCTTCGATCTTTTAGCTCATCTTTATGCTTTAAATGAATTCATATGATCAACTAGAAATACTGTGAGCACTGCTCAAATAGATACCCCCCACACCCAAAAAACAACAACATGCACACATAGTGTACCCATTGACACAAAACATGAATAATTTGGCACTATTAAGGCTACCTCAAGTTAAACAAAGTTTGTGGTCTCGATTTTTGAATGAATAAAATTCTATAACCTTCTAAAGTGTGAAATATGGACAATTTTCAACAATTTTTCAACAAATAAAGTTCCAATGTCAAATCAGAAAGGAGTAGGCCCAGTAAGACCCCTTTTTGGCCCCAATATATAGCAGTTTTACAAAATTGTTAAAACGTAAATTTTTAGCTATTTATTGGAAAGAAGAATACTTCTGTTACATAAATATGGGCTGTTTTTGACAATATAATGCACATGTATCGGGTACTAGCATCATTAAGTCATGCTAGATTACTGAAATCTTCGAAATTTAAGCATTTTGGTCAATTTTTAGACGGTTTCCGTCTAAAATGGAAGTGGCCGCATTTGTGTTCATTCTTAATATTTAAATGTAAGTTGTATTTGATGATAAAACATAACATATATAAAGGTTGAGAATGAACACGCGTACGGATGAGGCCATTTTCATTTTTGACAAAAACCATCTGAAAAGTGACATATTATGGCATAGTTGATAGATTTTTCATATTTAAGCTTGAATTTGAGCGTCTTTAATAACTAAATCAGTTCAAATCTTTCACATAAACTAATTGAATCGACTGAAATAGACACATAAATGTTTAAAAAGTGTCCAAAATCTTTCATCAGATGAACCTGAATTTTGAGGCCAAAATCGGCCCTTACCAGACCTAGTCTTTTATAAGAAAAAACCAAAAGGGAGCTTATTTCAACTGTTCAAGGCGTTTTTTTTAGTTATTGTCCAAAAATTGGAAAATCCCCCCTTTTTTATGAATAAAGTCCCCATACTCCAAAACATAAAATCAGAAATTTCAAAATATTGAAAGGGAACTTATGTCAATATATATAAACAATTCACCAAAGTTTCATAAAAATTGTTCAAAGCATTTGTGAGTTATAGTAGGAAAACTGGAAAATCACCCATTTTTTATGAATAAAATCCCATAACTCGGAAATGAAAAATTTCAAATTTATAAAAATCGAAAGGGACCTTACATAACTAGAAATCAATAATTAACCAAAGTTTCACAAAAACAGGTGAAAGAGTTTTTGAGTTATTGTCCAAAGTGTTGTCAACAGACGGACAAGGGTATTCCATAATAAAAAATAAACATATTTCTTACATTTAAAAATTAGTAGCTTGTGGTATAAGCACATTTAATAAAAAAAAAACCACATGTATATAGAAAATGCATAGAAAAGATTAGAATTCCTTGATCCTCAAGATAAATATTTATTTTACAGCAAGCTGAAAGATGAAAATATATATTTAATAAAAATAAGGAAATGCAATTGTGACATGAAAATTGAAACAACCTTAAGATATCTTACATTATTTTTCATTCTCAAATACCAAAATAAAAAATGTGACTTTACTATAACTTCTCAATTTCATTTGTAACTGCAAAGCATAACTCTGTGATATATGCTTATACATTTATTATATCATTGATTTTAAACATTACTCTTTTCATTTTTATGAATAATCCTTGACAACTTTATGTCTGTACCCAAAAACAGCAACCAGTAAACTGGTACTAGGAAAGCATGGCAATCCAGAATTTGGATGTCAAGGGCATCACATTAATTCTTAAATAGAGTAATCCTCCCTTTGCCTTCAGCATTAATTATAAGTGTACTTATTATAATTTAGTTATAAACCTTCAATTTATTTTTTATTTCCCATTCAACATGATTTACTTGATTGTGAAATCGTCTAAAAGTGTGCAAGATACTTAATATAAATTCATATATTCTAAACATAATATAATATTAAGGCAAGATAAAATTAGACAATTAAATTTATACCCTGGAAAATTGAGATTCTTCTAAAAAATGAAGACATAACTCTATCACATTAGGTGTAAAATATTTACATGCTTTAAAGTATATTGAAAGTGTTCAGATATTTTATGATGTGTACAAACTCTATTTGTCAAATGGCTTACAATTTTGTATTATCACTCATAGCTATATATATATAGCAATTTCAGAACATGTCATTGCCCAAAATGGATTTTTTCAGTTTGCATGCTCATTCAACAGAATATTAAACATTTAATAAAATTATCATAATTTCTAAATTGTAAATAATACTATTTGTATCAAGCAAAATGTTTCATCAATTATCACTGATTACTTGAATAAAATACTTTTCGATAAGATTTTATACTTGATATACAATTTCTTTATAGTGAATATTGCTAGTTATTAGTCCATCTATTTATAGATCATCATCACAAACCCTTGTTGAAATAAAGGGTCTTTGGTAAGTTTTTCCCATATTTCTCAACAACTTCATCATACTTATGGTGGTCCATTATCTTTAATTCTTCAATTGAGATGGAACTGAAATTGAAAAATATCAAAATACTTTATTTAACGACAACTTATTTGAAGTACTACAAAATATATTTCTAGATACAAAGGATACAAATTTTTGTGGCAGGCCAAAAAAAAGATACTCTAAAACAGCAAATGATACAATATTTTCTTAAGAGATAAACTGACAGTTGGGGTTCTTTAAACTGTTGATTCCAATAGTCATAATGGTTCTGGGTTGATGGATCAAGTAATTCTATGAATGAAGATAGATGGTCCACAAAAGGACAGAAATTGTTCAGGCGTACAAATCATCTTCAGGCCCTGATAGTACTGTGTCGAAGCACCTTTTTACATATTCATCAAATACAATATTCTAAAAGAGTATGGGCATTAAGGCCCAGTTTTAGCCCAAGAAAATAAAATGTTTGACAACTATTTCAAATTTGGGCATAATGTTTGGAAATGCATAGGGTCAAGAAATATAAATGAAAAACATAAGATTTTTATCTCATGACATCCCAATTACGTCATAATATGTAATTTTCTTAAAAACGATGAAAAATGCAGTATTTATCCAGTTTTCCATCGTTATTTCTATTGTGGAAACATCGTGCTCAGCCAAGAAACAAAACAATTTAAGAGAAGTTTTATTATATATTAAACTATTGACATAATCTCACTTAATATAAAGTTGTTTCTTGTTTGCGCACATACTTTGCCAATCTAAAATATACTTAAAATTTGAAGATAAACAAGGAAAATCAAGAAATTTTACAAAATATACAAATTTCGTCATGGTTTGTTGCCATGGTAACTCATTAAATATTAAATTTAGTTTTTATATTCTGAATACCTTTTACCTTAGTCTAGTAAGGACAAATTTAAGAATATGTATTATAACTTTTAAATTTGCACTACTATTTGGGCCATATAACGGCTTTATTGACCCATCTCCTTTGGAATAAATCATGTACTTGAATTTTACTCTGCTAAATGAGAGAAAAATTTTATAAATTTATCATCCAAAGATTTGTTTACTTTCATTGGGAACCTCAAACTAAATTACTAAAATACCAAATCATATTCTGAAAGAAAAAATATTAACTATGATTATCTAATAAAACCCCTGCAAGAGCTTTAATAATAAATATATAATTACTGATTTAAAACATACCTTCTTTGGTTAAATAATGAACAGCCTATTGGTACCATTATTAATAAACTGAAATATAGAGATACAATACATAAACAATAAATCTACAAAAAGTATGACTGACTTTTCAGACTTCTTTACTTTAATTTGTTAAATGACAAGGAAAATGAATAGGTTTAACAGAACAAAAATTATTGCAAAGATCTCAAAATATGGACAACAATGATGCTGCAGTTGTCAAGAAATGAAAAACAAATTTCAATTATAATAGGAAAGATGCAATATATAAGTTGTATCATGAATTGTAAATGAACAACTTATGATCTTCTTCAAAATTTTGTCCAAGTGTAGACTAGTTAACATAAATGAGGGAACTGATGATAAATATTTCTTAAACACATGGAGTGTCTACCGACTCAACATGTTGATATAAGCATATAACTGACAAGTAGAGAGATTGGTAAAAGTGGTAAATCACTTGTTTTCCAATCCTAATAAAAGTGTCATATTTGTAGTATTCATGTTATTTTCTCAATAACTTATTGTTTACACCATCTGATGAGGTTTAAGTAGTTTCTTTTTTATATTACCCTGTTTACTAAACTTTGAAAACATTTTTCATTTTGAGTAGAAAGATGGAAGTTGAAAGATGTAACAGATGAATGCAAAGATAAACTAAGAGACAAATTAGGAAATCACTTTGACTCACCTTAAACCAGCTAATGCTATTTGTAATGGCGCATTAATAAATCTTCCATACTTCACCATAAAGGCTTTCTTTTCTATCCTCTCCATAAATACAGGCAATAATACTACAAATATTTCAAAACAAAATTACATCTTTTAAGCAAGAAATTCATTTATAAAGAACAATGTTTATTATGGCTTGCAATATACATAAACAAACCTTTAAAATATGTATGGTAAACATTTTCAACACTCAGATGGATATCCATGTTATTATCAAACAATTTAATTTTGGATGTAACACATCTTCTGATTGGCTGAAAAGTTTTTGTCTATCAGCTCATAGACATAATTTTGTCATGTGACTGTGGCGTCATCAATGTTTTTTTTTCATGATTTACTCCTTAAAAATGGAATTTAGAATTAAATTACAAGGAATGGCTGTAATATTTTTTCTGTCTATGAAGAAATAACATCAAAAATGTGGTGCACACTGAATAACCTGGGTAGAGGAGAAGTTCCTTGCTTATCAAGTTATGCAATCAAAAGATGTTCATGTGATAATTGTAAAAATAAGAAGGTGTGATATGATTGTCAATGAGACAACTCTCCACCATTTTCTGCACATTTTGCCAAATATTCTATATTCTGTAAACCTCATCCAGACCCTTGTATATTCTTCAACAAATCAACTATGTTTCAGTATAGAAAAGAGTGCAAAATATCAATACTGTTGTAAGAGCTCATACAGACATACTGCATTGTTATGGAAACATTACTTTATACAGTATAACCAACATTTTATGTCTATTGATTTCAAGATGTACATACTCATGCTAGGAGCTGCTATAAGTATTCTAGATAACACAACCTGGCTAATCCCTTTTACTGCAGCATACTGAAATCACATAAAACAATACATTACAGTCAAGGGAGGCAATAATGGTTAACTCTGAGGAAAAGAATTGTCTTCCAGCAAACAACCAAGGACATCTGTTGAGTAAACCATATTGTTATATAGGCATTATCTATGGTTTGGCCTGATAATTTGTTTTATGCGTCCCATCTTACATTTTAATATTTATAATGTGAATGGAAATTGTACACAAAAATTCTATCTTAGCCTTTCACAAAGTCAACAAGCTCAATTTTGTCCAGTGAGTATTAGTTTGTTTTTTTGCAGCTTATGAAAAATCTCTTGTCAAACTGTTTATTTTATATATTTCTAAAGCCTTAAATTAATCAACATATAATGGTCTTTAAAAAAAAAAAATATGAATGTCTAATGTCAATTTCCAACACTTGATTTTCTTGTAATTCATGTATTGGTGATCATTTTATGATGTTTTAAGTTTCACTATATCTGTTATAGTTTTTAAGATAATAGCCATGAAATGCAAAATATGGTAAATCTTGTCATTAAAGGGTAATACCTCTTATAAGGAGTCAAGGTAATGGTTCTCTCTGGGCACTCCAGCTTACTTCACCAAGAATAACTGACCGCCAAAGAAACAGCACAATAGTGCTGAAAGTGGCATTAAACATCAATCAATCAATCAATCAATCAATCGTATAAGGAGTCAATCAACAATTTCAGTTATGTTGATTATCTTATCTAGTTGATCATTTTTGTCGTTGACAGTTTTTCTTAATCTTCTATAGTCTTCAAGATCATAACTAAAAAATGGGTAGAAAAAAGAAAACAACACTTTATAAATTCCATGTGTCCAAATCTCTTTACTAGATTTACCTTCATCAGGAACCCTCAAACCCATATATTTGAAAACCAAAAAAACGTTGAAGAGCTATATGATCACAAAGTACCTAAAAATAAAGCAACATCCATCTAAGGTCAACTTTGCACGAGGGAGTTGAAGCCTTGAAGCCATAGTATTTTTTTAACTTCTAAATTGATGAACAGAGAATTTATTAAACAGTTGTCAATTAAGGGCAATAACTCCTAAAAAAAGGTTCATTGAGGCTCTCAGTCACATTTTACTAAATTGCATATCTTGGTTTGCCAATCTCTTTTGCTGTATTTAATTTCTCTCTATTCAAACAATTTTCAAAATAATTGCCAAACACATAGTTGTTAAAAATTGCAAGGACAACATCTTGATTGCTGAAAATACATGAATTGGGTAAAAATAGTCATTTAACAGGCAATATCTCCTATAAGATGTTAACTTACAATTTAGACACATGGGAAAAATGGTAGATCATGAAATCCATATTATTTTGAGGTTAAACTTTTTTCTCTATATTTTATAATTTCTATAGTATAATATATAGTTAGCAAAAGATCTTTTTTGACAATATGTTCATTATTAGCCACAGCTGTCATATCTATAGCTTAGTAGGCATATTAAAGTGATACTCTTTTAAAATAAGATACCTTAGATTGATGAACTGGTTTCCCAGGAGATGAGTTTTGAAAAATTTTACAACATCCAATGATAAACTTCAGTCCAAGGAGAGCTACAACAAATTGAATGAAGAGATCTAATTTCTTTTTAAATAAAATTTATGTTTTCTGTAAAAACATACCCGAGACTCTGTTACTTTATTATTCTTTTCATCAAACATTGTCACACCATGAGCAAACTCACTGAAATATAAATATCAAAACATTATTTAATGGTCTCAGGTTGATGTCAGAAATCAAAAGTCAAAATCTTAATTTTGATAAAAATAGACTTCCTTAATTAAACCCATTTTATCAAAGTTATAAACTATAAAAGAAAATTGGATAGATGTGCATTTTGACAACAATCCAATGAAATCCTGGAAAATAATAATACATCCCAGGCTAGTCAAGACAGGACTAAATATTGGTGTTCTTCCAACTTTACAATCAAATTGATTTCTCTTTCTAAATTATTATCTTAAATCTGAAACTGTTTTCCAAAAAAAAAATAATGATTAGAAGGTATAATTACATTTTTGAACAAAACATAAATGTAAAACTAAACAAATAAAATGCTCCGCTGGGCACAGCTTGATACGACCGCAGAGGTCGAACCCTGAACAGTTGGGGCAAGTATGGACACAACATTCAAGCTTGATACAGCACTGAATTTGGATTGTGATTAAATATTTGACACAGCATAGGTTTCTGACACAGAATGAATGTGGTCTAAGAACTTAAATTTTTTTAATTTACCTATTATGGTCTAATATCCAAAATCTAAATACATACACGGTTAGATTCAGCATATCAAAGAACCCCAAGAATTAAATTTTTGTTAAAATCAAACTAACTTTAATTTTGGACCCTTTGGACCTTAATGTAGACCAATTTGAAGACGGGACCAAAATTAAGTTCTAAATACACGGTTAGATTCAACATATGAAGAACCCCAATATTTCAATTTTTGATGAAATCAAACCATATCATTATTATTTGCTTTTATAAACAAATAAAAAAATAACCAACTTAAAATGGAAAATTTATAGGAAAAAAAAAAGGAAAAAAAGGAAAAAAAATCCATGTCATGAAACTAGAAAAATGCTTGTTTTTTGCCCCTTTTAGGCCCCTAATTCCTAAAATTTTGAGGCAATTACCCCCAAAATCAATCCCAGCCTTCCCTTAGTAGTATGGTACCTTGCAGACCAATTTCAGAGAGATCCATATACTTGAACACAAGTTATTGTCATGAAACTAGAAAAATGCTTATTTTTGGCCCCTTTTTGGCCCCTTATTCCTAAACGTTTTGGGCAATTACCCCCAAACTCAATTCCAGCTTTCCCTTTGTGATATGGAACCTTGTAGTACAATTTCAGAAAGATCCATACACTTACACACAAGTTATTGTCATGAAACTAGAAAAATGCTTGTTTTTTTCCCCTTTTTTGGCCCCTAATTCCTTAAATTTTGAGACAATTACCCCCAAAATCAATCCCAGCATTCCCTTTGTGATATGGAACCTTGTGGTACAATGTCAGAGAGATCCATACACTTACACACAAGTTATGTCTGGAAGTTACAAAAATGCTTATTTTTGGCCCCTTTTTGGCCCCTAATTCCTTAACTGTTGGTACCATAACCCCCAAAATCAATCCCAACCTTCATTTTGTTGTATTGAACCTTATGGTAAAATTTCATAGAGATCCATTCACTTAAACTAAAGTTAGAGTGCGAAAACTAATGTGTCTTCGGACGACGACGACACCGGACGACGACGACAACATCATACAAAATATACGACCACAAAATTATTTTGCGGTCGTTTAAAAATCTAAGCAGAATATTTATTCTCTTTTCAATCTCAAATGAAAAAAAATAATACAAGGTCAACTAAACAGGACCACTTATAGAATTTTTCAGATCTTACATCAGCAACAAAAAACCTAACAGATTAAAGTGAAATCAATACTGATGACTAGATACAAATCAATCAACCTATGGACACTTACCTTTGTCTCCTTTAAGGGAGACATTAACAGCATAAGAAGAAGCTCTGTGAACTTACTTTTGTCTCATTAAAGGGGTGTTAAATGCATTAGAAGCAGCTCTGTGAACTTACCTTTGTTTCATCAAAGGGACATAAACAGCATTAGAAGCAGCTCTGAGCACTTACCTTTGTCTCATTAAAGAAATATTAACAGCATTAGAAGCAGCTATGAGAACTTACCTTTGTCTCATCAAAGGAATGTTAACAGCATAAGAAGCAGCTCTGTAAAATTATCTGTCTCATCAAAGGAATGTTAACAGCATTAGAAGATCTTAGTAGCAGCTTTGTGAGCTTACCTTTGTCTCATCAAAGGGATATTAACAGCATTAGAAGATCTTAAAAGTAGCTTTGTGAACTTTCCTGTGTCTCATTAAAGAGACATTAAAAGCATTAGAAGCAGCTCTGGGCACTCACCTTTGTCTCATCAAAGGGATATTAACAGCATTAGAAGCAGCCACAGCAGCAAAGGGGACAAACCTCTGTAAAATTGGTGACCTTGTCTGCAAAACGAAAACAAGATATGTCAGTACAACATGAATGCTCCCCATACAGCCATATTGCAAAACGTGGGTTCCACAAAACGAAATGTAAAATCGATCTGTAAGTCATCATAGACTAATGTATAAAATGTTCCAAAAATCAGCTTATGATAGGCAGGCATTACAAAAAAAGTAAGGAAGAGTACAATTTACATACCGGGTACAACTTTATTAGCTAAAAGCTTATAACTCCATCAAAAGTTGGTCAACAAGAAAGAAGCTTAATCTGTAGGTTGTCAGTATACACTAATGTACCAATTTACTGTAGACACAGAGACTTATATCGCCTGTATATAATTTTGATAGAATAATGTACAAGTTGAAATTAAAATGGCAATACTTTGATAATCAAAATAACTGTTATGGAATGCATGCATAAGTTTCAAAGTCAATGAACCATGACTGAGGGCACCATAGAATTCTGTATTCATTGTTATTATCTTAAATGTAGTTATTTGTCAAATTTAATCTTAAACAAATAATGAAAAACAAACATTATCTCAAATATATACCAGATTCTCAATTCTCAAATAGCATATAAAACCGTCAAGCTAACATAAATTCATCACACAAAAAAAATTCTTTCCAAAAGTTCTATGCATCAAAAAATGAATAGAGAAGAGAGTATACTAACTTTTGCCAGGAGAGACTTGAGACCCAGGGCAGTTACCAAAGCAGAAGTTGTGGCAGACACGTAGGCTGTGAGAATCTGGCTGAAATATAATGAAAGGTTTTTCTTTCAAGAAAGATAGATTAAGTATTGTAAATTTCAAGAAAGATAGATCAAGTATTTTAAATTTCAAGAAAGATAGATCAAATTTCAAGAAAGATAGATCAAGTATTGTAAATTTCAAGAAAGTTAGATCAAGTATTGTAAATTTCAAGAAAGATAGATTAAGTATTGTAAATTTCAAGCATAATAGCTTTAGAAGTAAAGTCCACAAAATAGAATTAGTATACCGTGTACTATATAGCAACTGAGGATTGAAACTGGAAGATATGAAAATATAGTTTTAGAAAACAAAGAGTGCCATATATGTGATAGTTTTATTGAAGGCAAAGCACATGTTTTATAACAATATCCTCTTTATGACAATTTTAGAAACCATTTATATTATGTTGCTGAAACTTTTATTGAAAATTTTAATACTTTAGATACAACCAAAAGTTCTTCATTTCTGTATTCTTTAATTTTTTAAGCCATTTATCTCTATTCTTTATACTTTTTACCCATTATTCTCTATTCTTTATATTTTAGCACCTCATTATTCTCTATTCCTAATTTTTTTGTTCCATTTTTCTCTATTCTTTATATTTTTTGCCCGTTATTCTCTATTCTGTAAACCCCCCATCCATATAGTCTTTACTATTATTACTTTCTAAACAAGCACATGGTTATTTCTATTTATTGAAATATGTTGTTCCATATCAATGGATAACCAAAAAATGGAAGGGAAAAAAAAGGACAAAAAAAAAGGACACTCCTACGATCCTCATCAACTACAAACATCATAAAAATCTAGCGTAAACATTAAGACGAATCTCTTAAAAGTCATAATCTTTGGAACATCATAGGTTAAAAATAATACTTCTTTACAAAAATGTATAAGTTTTAGTTGAAACTATACTTAAGTTAATGAAACACAAAGCATCAATCATTGGTTTCAAGACTTTTTACCATTGTAAGGGCAAAAATTATTATTATAATTTTAACTGTTTTTGATAATTAAATTGCTTTCAAGAGAGGATAACTCTTGACTACTGTAGGTATGAGTCACTGTATGACCCAAAATATTAAAGCCTTAGAAGAAAATTATCTATAGCTTAGGATATCTGATCAAATCATGATTTTAAATGGATGCTTGAACAGTCACAAACTCAAGGTTATCATCGAAAACCAAATGTTTCAATTCAAAGTTTTGACAACATGCTTCATCTTTTTTTTTTTAAATTTTGCTAGAGCTTTAAAAAGATGAATATTATTTTATCTAATCGTTTAAGTTCATAATATTTTCATAATGGTAAAGTTGTTCAACATTTGATCTATTCATATAGTTTTTGCAAAAAGAAGTTGAAATACAAAACTAAGGAGATTTCATGGTTTACAAAAAGTCAATTGTTAAATTATAAATTGGTTAGTAAATGTGACAGTATCCCTCTGTAAACTGTATGCATATGTGAATTGATTCAAGCATTTATATTTTTAAACCAATCACCATTTCTTACCAGATCTATTTGTTACTGAAAATATATACGTTTGTTTTTCTACATTTGCCATACTACTTCAGTAAAGAGAAATTAATAACAAAACACATGGGATACTCATTTTCATGGATTTTGTTGGTATAGGCGAAATTTAAATGTTTAACAAAGTATAAATTTACTATAGGCTTGTATGCAGACTCTTGCAAAACCACAAAATCAAATATCCACAACAAATTTTAATCAATCCACGAAAACTGGCATCAACAAAATTAAAAGCATCCACAGTATTCAAATTCATTCCAATCATAGTAGATAGACACTATAAAACTGACCATCCAACTGACCTCTATGGAGCTATATTTACAACTAATGTGTATTTCAGAAATTACAAATTAGTACATGTACATGCACTCACTTATTCATGAATTAAAAAGTTTTTTTTTTCCAAAGAGATAACATTCAAGTGTTAAATTCAGGGGAGATAATTAAACTGATATTACTGCAAATCAACCAAATATGATACTATAGTAATGAAAATAAATTATTTTATCAAAGTGTCACATATTGTATAACAGTTGAACAATATATAATTAAACTGTATTTAAAATAATCAAGACTGAGCCAAACAAATTGACCTATGAGACACTATAATGAAAAAGTACAAATTTGATCAAAGTTGTATTTTGCCAAATTTTATGAAGTTCAGAATACGGTACACATTCTTTAAGAAAAGATAAATAAACCCTGTCAGACATGAGCCATACAGTGATTCAATTGACCAAATATAGTTGACAAATCTTTAAAGTAACTGAGAAACTAACTTTCGAATGAAAACGTAACCTTGATTACTGTACCATGAAAAAAGTTAAAGTCATGGGATCTAGACACGTACACCTTATAGTGATTCTATATACTAAATATGGGTTACCTATTAATTATAGTAACTTAGAAACTGAATTAAGGTCAACAACTTTACCTTGATCATTGAACCAAATAAATTAGGTCAAGGTGGCATAATTTCTGTCAAATTGACATGTACACTTTACAATGATTCAATGGACCAATAATAGACATCATAGATTTTTGTCGAGCCTTCGACTTTTGTCGAAAAAGCGAGACATAGCGTTCCTACATTCCTTCGTCGTTGGCGGCTTCCACAAATATTCACTCTGTGGTTAAAGTTTTTGAAATTTTAATAACTTTCTTAAACTATCCTGGAATTCTACCAAACTAGGACAGAAGCTTGTTTATGATCATAAGATAGCATCCAGAAGTAAATTTTGTAAAAAAAAATCTATTTTTCCGTAATTTACCTCTAAATTGACTTAGTTTTTCTGCCTAGAAACATTACATTCACTCTGTGGTTAAAGTTTTTAAAATTTTAATAATTTTCTTAAACTATCCTGGATTTCTACCAAACTAGGGCAGAAGCTTGTTTATGATCATAAGATAGTATCAAGAAGTAAATTTTGTAAAAAAAAAATTCGATTTTTTCCGTATTTTACTTATAAATGGACTTATTTTTTCTGCCAGGAAACATTATATTCACTCTGTGGTTAAAGTTTTCAAAATTTTTAATAACTTTCTTAAACTATCCTGGATTTGTACCAAACTTGGACAGAATAAAATTGAGAATGGAAATGGGGAATGTGTCAAAGAGACAACAACCAGACCATAGAGCAGACAACAGCCGAAGGCCACCAATGGGTCTTCAATGCAGCGAGAAACTCCCGCACCCGGAGGCGTCCTTCAGCTGGCTCCTAAACAAATAAGTATACTAGTTCAGTGATAATGGACGTCATACTAAACTCCAAATTATACACAGGAAAATAAAATTAAAAATGATACAAGACTAACAAAGGCCAGAGGCTCCTGACTTGGGACAGGTGCAAAAATGCGGCGGGATTAAACATGTTTTTTGAGATCTCAACCCTCCCCTATACCTCTAGCCAATGTAGAAAAAACAATGTTGAGCCTGCGATTAACAGCAAAAATAGGCGAGACACTGGGTTCCGCGGAACCCTTACAAATTTTTATAAACTGAATAATCGAAACATATAATATTATTTATTGGACCATTTTGCAATTTTGAATGTTTATATCAAGCATACCTTGTGGTAAGTTCTGAAGCAGCATTTCTGTTTGTATAATTAACCATTAATCAAGCATACCTTGTTGTAAGCTCTGATGCAGCATTTCTGTTTGTATAATTAACTAAAGCATTAAATGACTGATTGGCCCATTGCCAAAATATAACAGATGACGTGCCTCTGTAATTAGAAAAAAATATAAATCAATATATGGGCAGTCAAAAAACTTTGAACATTTTCTCAATTTATAAATATCAATACTTATAATAATTATATAAAGAAATAGATAAAAATAAGCTGGCTGCCTCAGGGTTGAATGCCCATCTACATATCAGTGATAGTGGACATTGTATGTATAATTATTGCATATAATGGAATGAACAATTCAGCATGTAAAAAACTCTTCAGAACTTGAGTTGTAATGAGACATGTGACAAATTGCCTTTTATCATATGATTAGTCTTTTACTCCGGAACAACAAATCATAAAAACATTACAATCAAAAGGTAACCTTTCTTATAAAACATTTAATAACGCATAAAAATATCATAATTCCTGAAAGAATAAATAAGCTATCAGGCCTGAGAACACAGTTATTTCGTAGTGCATTTCTTTTAGACAAAAAATGCAAATTAAAAAAAATCACACCTGCTCTATCCTAAAAAGATTTTTACAGTGTAGTGTCCTACTTTGGGGACAAATTATCAAAATTATAGAAAAGTCTATCGGCTCTAACTCACAAAAAAGGTAAATTTTATATAAAGGGGGTCTGTAATTCAGTTTGACAGCTTCAAGCATGCTAATTTTTGACCTTTTCAAACTGAACCAAATGCCCCAAATTTTTTTTTCTCATGTAATTTTACCCCCCTACTTACTATTTTTTGCATAAAATATAAAGAAATAAATTTGGAGGGTATATGAAAAAGTTATACACTGTCCACACTAGAGACTCTATTTGTAGACAACAAAAATCAAAGGACGATAACTGTGTCCCCGAACCATCATGAGAGTGATGAGACATATAAAATTTTGCTGAGTTTTTGAGGATTCAAGTGCCATTACTTCTGGAATGAATAAACTGAAAATTATCAATACATGTTTTCAGTCTTTGAGAAACCAAGTATTGTGTAGACTTTTGGTAAGATTCCTTTAAACAATACTTGAGTTATCCTGGGATATGCTTGGGCAGATGGTTGGAATTATTTTCACCACTACACAAAGGATAAGTTTGATTTTTGATATTTTCACTTTTACCCTTCCTGAGTTATCATACTTGAGTTGATTGTTAGAAAAAATTCAAAATTTGTGGTTTCTGGATAATAAATGGAGAATCACTTTTTGAAATTGATTGAAATTATACTGGAATGTTTTGGACCACTAAACACATGTTAAGGTCCATTTTCATAGTTTTCACTTAAAACCATTTTTTTGGAAAAATTCTAAATTTTGTGGTGTCCATATAATAAATGGTGAACCCCTTTATGAAATGGCTTAAAATTTTAATGGAATGTTTCTGACAACTTAACACTGATTAAGTTTTATTTTTCATCGTTTTCACTTTTGCCATTCCAGAGTTATGGTACTCGATTGTTTTAAATTTTTCAAATTTTATGGGCTCTATTTTCCTCGTTATCAGGACAACTAAACATAGATTAAGTATGATTTTCACGTTTACTATTGCAGAGTTGTGGTACTTGATTGTTGGAAAAATTTTAAATTTTGCTTCTGGATAATAAATGGATACCCCTTTTTGAAACTGATTGAAATCTTAATAGAAATTTTTTTACCACTAAACAAAATCATGATCTCTCAGTTGTTTTATGCGAGGGGATCTGTGATCACCAATCATCTCTGTGGTTTCTTTGGGTTTTTGTTGTGTTGTTGGTTTTTTTTTTCTTATTGAAGAACTGTGGATGGATTATTTTTGTGGGTACTCATTTATATGGTTTTAGGAAAATTTGCATTTTCGTGGTTTTGTCTGTGTCTGTATACAAGCCTTACGAAAATTTGTAATTCGTTGAACATTAAAATTCATGGTTCACCTGTATCCATGAAACCCAAGGTATCCCACAAATAATAATGAATCCACAGTATTATATGTGGGTATCAACTTTCGTGGATTTCCTGGATACAGTGACACAACGAATTTACATGTTCAATGTTCAACATTATTTCTATAGGCTTGTAGCAGACTTTGACAAAACCCCAAAATCAAATATCCACGAAAATTGCTATAGATGAAAACAAATGAACCCACAGTATACTTTTGTTCATATTTATCATGGCATTAAAATCATTAACAGGGCTCTCTTGAAATGACATCTGACCTATGACTTATGACAAAGTACATACCTGTACCATGTGATCATGGCTCCTATTAGTACCATTCCACCTGGTACCTGGAATGACATTCTACCTATAACATTTTGAAGTTCTCCTGTATCTGGATGGAAAGCTGATAGATACAGCTGCTGGGCTCTACGTATATCTTTAACTGTAGTTCCTGTTGGAATGTTGTTCTGTCTAAATAATATAACATTCAAGACACAGGAATTTTAATATCATGAGCATAACACAATAGTGTGAGTCATGTGATTAATAGCTATAGGGATTTCATCATGATCATTACACAATAGTGTGAGTCATGTGATTTAGAGGAGATATCATGAAACATGAAGATGTGAGTTGCGTCATTTAAAGCAGATATCTTGAAATATGACAATGTGAGTCATGTTATTGATTTGAGTTTATGATATCAGCCTTCTATCTGGTGACTGTAACCTTTAGTAAAGGAGGTTGTGGGTTCAATTCCAGGTCGTTAGTTTCCTTTTGAATTGTTTCACATTTTTTATAGCTGACTATACAGAAATGTTTTTCTCATTGTTGAAGGTTGTATAGTGACCTATAATTTCTTCTAATATCTTCATCAATTGAACTCTGGAGGCTAGTTGTCTCATTGGCAATTTTACCACATCTCCTTTCTTTACCAATCAAACACATTATAAAATAGTATTTGCTGCCCTTTTCCTGTTAAGCATGCAGAATTAAGGAACAAGACAAAGGCTGGTCAGTCCTAATAATATGCCTGTGTAAGGTGAGATGTCTCCCTGTGGACTGTTACTTTGTGATCCAACACTTGAAAAATCTAACTCAGTTATCAGTCTAGTATAAACCAGGTTTCATATTCATAATCGTATCCCATTAACCTTGTTGACAGGTTCTAATCCTGAATAAGCATTTAATAATTGCCACTGGACTTGGAACATCCTTCTATCAATCACTCCATTGTAAGTATCAAATGAGTAGAAAAGTCATATTATAACTCTAAATAAATATAAAAAAAAATATATATCCACAGGACATAAAATTGAAAATGGAAATGGGGAATGTGTCAAAGAGACAACAACAACACCATGCCTATCTGCACTATCACATTTCAATGTTCAGTTAACAGCCAAAATTAGCATATATTTTAAACATCATTATGAACATTTTTACCAAATTTTATAGTTGATGTTATCACAACTGCATGGTTAACTACCTTTAACTAAAACTTTAACAAGATACAGGAACAACAGAGGCACAGACCAGAGAACAAATTGACCTGAACTGTCCTAGATAAGGCATAAAAATGTATGGTATAATTATATACTGTAAATTCAGAAATTATTGCGTGCATTTATTATTGCGATTTTATCATTTTAGACTAAAATGCGATTTTAATTTTTGCGATATTGAGAAAAATCCTGTTTAATTCATATAATAAATTTCAAAATGCGAGTTTAAATTATTGCGATTATAACCCTGTCGCATTTTTCGCAATAATAAAAACATCGCAATAATTTCTGAATTTACAGTAACTAGTGAAATCTGACCTGACAGCATGAATAAGGTCTCTAGCCTGATATAAGGTTCCTGATGACACAAGACTGTTTCTGGGATCAGTCATCCATGCATAATATTTTCTTCTACCACTAAATGTATTCTGGTCCCAAATAGGGGTATCTAAGTCAACCTCCACCATTTCTGGCCTTATTGTTAAATTCTAGATCTGTTATTCACAAAATGGTCTTGCTGTCAGATTTAAGCATATTTTCAATAAATAAATTGTGTATCGATGGTGACTGAAATATTCCAAATAACAAATTTTGTACTAAAAAAGCAAAATAACTAAGTATGTAGTGAAATATTTTAAATGACTGTCTATACCAAAATAGTCCAAATAACTAAGTTTAAACTGAATATTTGAAATAACTAAGTTTGTACAGACACAGTCTGCACCAAAATCTTTTCCAACTACTAGTCCGAAGTAAAATATTCAGACATTTTCCTTATGTGTCTAAACAAAGTTTTGCAAAAATTTACTAACTAGTCTGAATTAAATTTTACTAGTCTGGGGCATTGGACTAGTGGCCAACAGTGCAGGCTGCAGAAATATTCCAAAACTGAAATATTTCAAATAACTAGGTTTGTACTGATATACTGCTTCGGGACCAGTTACCGTCAGAAATTTGTAGTTTTACTCAAAATATTTATTTACAGGATCTCCTGTTGAAAATATTTTTTTACCATAAAAAGGGTTACCAAAAGTTTGGTTAAACACCATTTACTTAATCATTAAATCATCTTATAAACGATGAAAATCTGCATACTAGTGTGTTGTTTTTGCCATTAAGTTTTATGGTGACAAGGACCAGTTATCAACATTCAGGAATCTACTCACTAAAGGATAAATATTTCCACTTTTTATGAGTATGTATGTCATATAATGCTTTTCTAAAGTCCGACAAGAAGATGCTTTGCTAAATTAACATAGTCAACATGATAGTCATTACATCCGTATATTCTAAATCTTTTCTTCCTTTCAAAAGTCTGAACTGATCATAAATTATGTCACTTGAGATCAACACAGATACTGTATTAAAGGAAAGGCAAAAAATATGATTTTCAAATCTATTGTAATGGATGTGGTTTGGGTAGTCTCCCGGTAATTGTTTCAAATTAGTATTTTCTTAATTAAATGTTTATTTCATGTTTAATTTGATCCAGACAGGCTAAAATACAAAGTAGCTTTATCAATTTAACTATAAAAGTATTAAAATTTCATATTACTATATATATTTGATGAATATTCATTTATTCAATATTTCTTCAATACATGTAGCACATTTTTATTTATATCTTTGAAAATGATAAGTTTGTATCTAAAACTTGATCAGGAGTTGCTCCGGTGGGGTGAAGTCTTCACTCCACATGTATATATGAGCCGGCAGGAAACTGCCACCTTTCTTACATATACCAGCTCGCAGGAATGAATCATTCCACTCGCTTATTTAACAGCAACTACAATGGCATTCATTTTTTGTACGATTTACTAAATTCTAAAACACAACGCGAAGTATTGTTTCATTTACTTTTTTAACTAACTTTTTGAATAACTATTTTATTTGAATTCATTTAATTTTAAATACTTTTCTGTTCCATCTCGTTTGCGAACTTTTACTATTTCATTTTGGAACTTAACTTTTGAAATACTATTTTTTTCATTTCATTTGACTATGTTTTATTTGAATGTACATTTGTAAATAAATTGTTGAGTTCTTTTTGATTTGTGTCTCTATTCTGCCAAAATCTGATATCAGGTATCCCGAGGATCGAATAGGGACGAAGTACTAGTCACTACACGTCCCGGGAGGTGTCGTTACCGACCCCCTCCTGTAACACTATAAATCTGTCCTTATTCTAATGAAAGAAATTTGTGTTCTTAAGCAAGCTTTGATACATTATGTCTAAGAAAACAGTAAGTTTTCTAACATCGAAGATGCCATAAAGTAATGATGTCATGTCCCCGCACTCATATCTTCCCACAACGTGTTATAAATACAATACCTCGGAATTTCTTAATCTTTATCGGATCAAACAAAGCAGTTTTTAAATATGAAGCAAAAATATGTGTCTGCAGATAATAGCAGTATACCTGAGACATGCAATGCATCGGTTATGATAAAAAATGCCTATTGATGGTAACTGGTAACTGACCATATCATAACCGGTACTCTACCAGTATTGAAAATTTACTAAGTTTGTACTGAAATATTCATAATACATAGAAATTAGTCCATACTGAAATCTTCTAAATAAATTTGACAAACATTTTTGTTTTGTTTTGAACACATTTGTAAGGATCCAAGGAGTGGTTTAGCCTTATCAAACTACTGAAGAACTGGTTTAAATTTTGAGTTATCTCCCATGTCACAATTTTTGGAATATTATTCAGAAATTACTTTAAAATGTTACAACGTTGTGAGCTTATCTTTAATTAAAAGGGTGTGTTTATGCATAAAAAAGTATGCTCATCATTATTTCATCACAATAAATTCTGATAAATTACATTTCTTATTTTTTTCCACGTTCCAATGACTTTCTCAGCTCATTTTCCTGTGTAGGAAATCTTTTGTGTGAAGTTACATTTAGTAGCTTCTTCCTCTTTGAAATCGAGACTCTTACGTCACGCGTAGTTACTCCAAGCCAAAAAGTAAAGGGGTCAAAATATTTGTTCAATCATGGTAAATTAAGATAGCTTTACTTAATATTACAGTCTTTGTGACTAAGTAGATTTTGTACAAACAATTTACATGACTAAAGCTCGTTAGATCTGTGTCAGTGCTCCCATGATTTTTTTTATATCTCTCCACAATCCAACCGGTGTACGCACGTACATGACATGTACAGTTTTCACAATTAACCCAAAGCCCTTCGGCCCAGTCAGTTTAAAATGTTGCCGAGCCGGTTATATTTTATCCAGTAAGCGGCCTCACAAGCCAAAATATGAGACTACTTGATGAGCTTTTAATTTAAAGCAATAGCCCTATTGTTTTTTTTTTCATGTTACTAGTGTTAGTTTTGCATCATGACATGTTTTAACTGTCATAACACAGGTATCTAGAATGTCAAAACAATCGGAAAGCCAATCCCAGTTCAACCCCATTACTTAAAGCAATGATGGTCATGTGACAATGATATTTGAGGCTTTTTGGTTTCAACTGAGACATATCACTTTCAGGGGTTCAAATTTACTTTAGGCAATGGAAGGTCCAGGACCTTTGACCAAAAATACTAATTGGTCCTCCTTTTTTCTTAGAAGGTCCAATTTCAATTGAAAATATAATTTATAAAAACAGAAAATGCTTACCATACCAAAGCACTCATCATATCTTGCTACATCAACCTAAATTTTTCTGAATTTCTCAAATAAATTCAGTCAGAAAAAGGCTTCCCCTTTATCCCAACACTATATGCCATGTTAAATCACACTTTGTACCTTTTTAATTGTTCTGGTTTCAATTGCTGCTTAATAACACACTGGCCTAACTTTGTGACAGATAACAGCTTGACTTTGTTTTCAAACTTGGGGTCAGTTTCTTTTAACCACTCTTTTGGTCAAGATAGATGAAGGGAGGTAGTTTCATGTTTTTTGTATTGGGTCAAGTTTTAAGTTTTTTGTCCAACGAACCAGGGCACTTTCCTTTTCACTGTGTGTGGAATAAACCAGTTGCTTCATCGAAATCCAACCAAGGACGATTAACCTTGCATTGGGGCAAAAATGTACGCTCTTGATTTTTCCTATCATATTTTTGGACTCTTAGTCAGATCCTATCTTTCGGGCTGCATTTTATCAATCATTCCTGCTGTATCATTTGTTTCATCAGGTTTTCTTTTGGAAGAGGTCACCCAAAAAACAAAGAGACTCATACCATTTACTAGTTATGTTTGAATAATATGTTCTTGAGTTTCCCATGGCCAGTATCTTGTACGACAACGACCAGTCACATGACTGCACTGCTATATGCCTACATCAAATCAATTGTGAAGAATTTAAGCAAACACACAAGTTTCCTTTCATTATAATTACATATTGTTACCATATTTTTATATTTTTTGTTCAAAATGCTTTTGTAATTTTGTTAATCTGCAAAAATACGAAAGTCCGTCGGGTGTAACTTACTACCGACAGGAAGGTCAGAACCTGAAAATGATGACTTTTAATGATGTTACAAGGTTTTTAGTGAATTAGTTTGTGTCTTATATATGCTACTTAATATGCTAATACATGTATGACACTTCATTTCTGACAATCAGTTCTGATAGTAATTTATGAGTTATGACCCTTTTTTGGCACTTCTATAACTATCAGTTTTAAATTTATAACATTTGCACTACATGTATTATTATGTACAAAAATGTAAGCACCAGATGCTGTTTTTTTTACAAGTGAAAATAATAAAAACCTTGTTATTGTTATATTGTTATTTACTACAGATCTATATACATATAGTCTGTACATGTTCATGATCATGAAAAACAAATTTAAGTTTATATATTTTATCAATTTCGAAACTGTTCCAGGAAATAGGGCTATGTAGTAAACTTCAGTATTTTGGTATATTTTTGCCACTGTTGTCACTGCATAGTACTGACTCAGAAACAAAATTTTAGTTTTTAATCAAAGACAAAGGATACTGTCTTTTTTAATGGCATTTAAAAAAATTTTTAACATCTAGGAACTATAAAACTTGCATTTATTTAAACAAATGACAAAACTGGAATGAAAATATGAAATTGATTATGCATCTAAATGATAAAGTAAAATGATTAATCGTTTGTTCAATGTTGATATTGCTGAATATTTCATGCATATTCAGCGGTGAAATTCCAAGTATCAATTTATTTGTGATCAGAAAAATAAATGAATATACATTGTGAAATAAGTTTTATACCCCAGCAAAGTATTGTCTTGGTAAAGAGGAATCACCATTTCTGGCCATATGCCGCGTAATTAAAGGCAACTCCTACTGCATAGTACATGTACATATAATGTATAGGGTTAGATTGATATTGATTAATCTTAGCACTTTAATTTTGACTACCTGATGCTGTTATGTGCTTAAAAAAAATCTCTGTCCAACAAGGGGAGATCCTTGAATTTTACGTAGTTCAATATACTAATAGTGTTGTTGTGCAGGGGTATCCTTTTGGAGTTCTCATAATTTAATTTTTTTCAGTGATAGTTTGATTAATTTTAATATTTTATTTGATTTTTTTAAACATTTTATTCCATTTATATTTTACAGGGTCTTTTAGATTTGTTACGTAAAATGAAATCAGGAAATGACAAAGAATTACGGATATTACTTTTAGGATTAGATAATGCAGGGAAAACAACAATATTAAAATCTTTAGCATCAGAAGATATTAGTCATATAACACCTACACAGGTATGATTAATTTACAGTATATAAATATGTTGTTACAGATGCTACATATACAACGTACTTAATAAACAATGCTGTAGATTTTTTTATTAGAGCAGGGATCTCCATGGATGAAAATGTAATGATGGAGGAACTCTCACCAGGACAAAACCCTGCGTGTCGTGATCTAAATTATTCAATCCTACATTTCATTGTAAGGAATAGACTGATATATTGTTTAATATATTAATTTCATTATAGAATAACCAATTAATATTTTCATTTATTGTCATTTGTAACAATTTCGAATGTCAAGCCTGTTTGGCTCCCCTTAGTCAAGGATAAACACAATTCAGCTGCCCTGTTAACCTAGTTAACATCAAACGTTTTTCCTGTCATCAGGCATTGTCAGGTTTCCAGAGTCGTTTTCTCGCTATATTGGTAATTTTGTTAGGAGTTAAAAATGGGGATCAGTTTTCTTACTGTCAATCATACCTATTTTGATAGTGTTAAATTCAATTCAGAAGTCGCAAACCGGAATTGCTGATTTGCAAACATTAACAACAAGAAATTTCGTACCCGTTTTTGAGGGCAAAAGTTAAAAACTGAAATGGTTTTAATGACATAAAATTGCAAATTCTACTGTAATAGAGCATGCAACATGCATCTTTCAATTCTGAATGTAAACCAGATGTATAAATTTGATTGTAAACTACGAAATGAATTCGGAATTATGATACAAAAATCTTTCAGATTATATTTTTTTTTTACTACTAAAGTGATTCATTATTATCGATAATTATTGTTATTTGGCATGAAATTATGTTCTGATTTATGATTAAGAGTAAAACCTTGTACTCGTTTAAAAACGGGGGTGCTGATTGCGTAAATCAATAAAAGCATGCATTCAACTTGGAAAAATTGTTTCTTCATAATTGAATTTTAATTTGATTTTTTAAAATCTAAATTTTCATAAGCAATTGTCTCTCTTGATCAAGTGTTTTCCTGTCAGGTGTCTCGAACTACCTGTACAAGTGATTAGTGATGGTTAGTTAATGTAACAATGGAGGTTAGCCATCATAAAACAGGTCATGGAGATTCCTGATAAAATATATCTAATACTATAAAGTTTTTAAAATAAAAAACAAAAATTGTATAATTCCACCAATTGAAGTTATCTCTTAGTTCTACATATATAGCTTTTAAAGGAGAAATATAATGTGCAATAAAATGGTTTAAGAAATATTAATACAAAATTTACATGATGATAGAATACACAATGATAAAAATGTGTTATTTTGAAAAGTGAAAAAGTTAAAGCTAATACAATGTACAATGTATATAAAATATTTCATTGCCTTCTAGCAAGTTCAAGGTTTAACTACATTATTTCTTGTTTCAGGGATTTAATATAAAATCAGTTCAGTCACCAGGATTCAAACTTAATGTCTGGGATATTGGAGGACAAAGAAGAATCCGACCATACTGGAAAAATTATTTTGAAAATACAGATTTACTTGTATGTATATAACTGTTGAGAGTGTAGAAATATTGTATTACACGAGATTCAGTGGTAGAATCTGTTTCACTAATGATTTTGAAACGACACAAAAACAAACTTTATCTTTTTTTTTTCAATTATCTGCAAATAGATTTGTTCTTTAATATGTGACGTCATCAGGCATGGTCACCTTTTTTCGTGATGTCACAATTTGAAATTCAATGGAAAGCAAGAAAATTTTACGTTATAATTGTATTTTGACCAGTGAACAACCGACCTCAAATGAACCACACTTTGATTATAAATAACAGTTCATGGAAAATTTAAATTAGGTAACAATAAGAGAAAAAGATTTATAGACCCTGATTGATTAAACAACATGGAGATACTTAGAACATGTTTATTGTTTGCTATAATGTTGGCCTTTCTCTGAAAGTAAAGAAATGAAATAAGTGTAGAAAATTGTAAGCCTGGTATCTATGATGAGTTAATTGATATATTGCAGATATATGTGATAGATAGTGCAGATCAGAAAAGATTTGAAGAAACAAGTTTGGTAAGTATTATTAGTAATATTACAGATATATGTGAGAGATAGTGCAGATCAGAAAAGATTTGAAGAAACAAGTTTGGTAAGTATTGTTTTCATTGGATGATATCACAGATTACATGTACATGTATTCTAGCTGATACTAGAAAAGTTGAGATAATACATTTGAACTTGTACATGTCTTGTACAAGTTTAATACAATATATTTGAGATAGTTTATGTCTTCGTGTTTGTGTAAATGTACAGACAAAAGTTCACATTGACTTACAATCCTACACTAACTCCTCTACCAGTCAAAACTGGCCGCCACATTATGGCCAGTAGTAATGAAAGTGGCATTGAAGTGTTACATAGATAGATTATATAAATAATAACTTGATAGAGACATGATATAAAGGTATATATTTATTTATATGTCAAGAAATTTAACTTAATTAATTTATGTCTGTAGCCTGTAATTTTGCTTCTTTTCATATCTGATATCATTTCTAGTTGAAAGCCCATTTTCTCTTTTTTCAGGAATTAACAGAACTTTTAGAAGAAGATAAGTTAATGGGAGCACCACTTTTAGTGTTTGCAAACAAACAAGATTTATTATCTGCAGCACCAGCAGACGAAGTAGCAAAAGGTCTGGGATTAGATGCAATTAGAGATAGAAAATGGCAGATCCAAGCTTGTTCAGCTCTCACAAATGAAGGAGTCAAAGTATGTAGGATTCAGTTATATACCACTTTTAAAGGTGTTGAAGGCTTAACTATGAACATTATGATTGGGATAAAACATATTCTAATTTTGACCCTGTTATGTAATATAGATTAAAAATCAACACCAAATTCTCCAAAATAACAAAGTCCTGAAGATATTACATGAAAGGACAACTACTGACAAAATGTCAAGTGTAACCAGACTATTTGCTTGCTATCAAATGAAGATTCAAGTCGGTATAAAGTTAACAGTTTAATAAACGATCCAACAAGATTATAAACGATGTTACAATATTGAGTCCGGTGTTTACGGTTAGAATACCTTTCCAAAACTGAATATAAATTAATTTAGGAAGTATATAAAACACGATTATAAAGAAATAAATGTAACTATGGATTAAGCAATTATTGTCCATTGTAAAGATAGATACGAAGTCTATTATCGGATTAGTAGAAACATACATTTTAAACCAAAAGATAATTATATGGGAAAAATTGAGCTATAGGTGACAATTAAAAGATATAATTATTAAAGTCCGAAAGATGATAGTTCAAATAATTGGCATGCTTTTGGTCCTGTCATACAAGGTCCTGACTTGTAATAGACACAGGATAATGTGGTTGTGTTACTCTCTGATCTTTTAATGTCCAGCAATCATTGTAGCTAGGGTAGGTAGATTTATCATTAGGTTATATTTCTTACATAGATCTACTCAATAGGCAAAGTGTCATAGTATGTCTTTTTCGTAATTATATTTGATATTGAAAATAGTTTAATTCAATTAAACAAAAATTCATAATCATATTATTAATAATCAGGACAATAACAAATTCAACTTTTCAATCAATTCTGGAATGTGTCCTTTGGGAGAAAAAAGGAGGGAGGTTTTGAAAATGAGTATGTGTTGTGTTGGGATGCAGTTTTGCCTTTTTATCCTTCAGCAGACTCCTCAGAGTGTTATTGCATGGGTTCTTTTATAATGTGGCACTGCCAGCACCTGGCATCCATTTTAACTTCCCTCTCTTTATCTGAATCAGCCTCATCTTTATATATGCCACATGATCAAACATGTGAACCACTCAACACCAACTTTTTGTCTGATGTATATTTGTATGTGTATTTTTTTAATACTTTTAGGAAGGATTAGACTGGATTGCTAAAACCTGTAAGAAGAAATGACGAGAATGTAGAAGTAGAAGTGAGAAAAATTCCAAAAATCCAACATGGAAGGCATCAACATTTACAAAATCTCTTTGATGGTGACTGGAACAACATCTTTATTTATTATCATTGTATAGGAACATGGTATGCAATTAAGACTCTTCTGTACAAGTTTTCCTCTTCCATATTGTGGCTTTTTAACAAGAAACTATATACTATGTTTGTTTCTACTTCTAAGTGAAAATGTTGTTTAAATACTTGGCAGTTGTTCATTTTGAAAAATGTATAAAAAGATTACTACAAATGGTTTTTTTTATGTGAATTTGATTATAACAGCTTATCCATGATAAGAATGTGTAAACATGATTTTTTTTTTATTTAATCAGTGTGATTAAACATAATTTGTTAATGTGTAGATTACATATCATTAATAAGCCAATGTGTTATATATACATGTATATGTAATTTTCTTGCATAAATTTCTGTGAAAAATATAAGTGCTCTCTTTCTCAACTCATTAAGTTTTTATTAATATTTATACATTTCTAAGCCTGAATGACCTGTCAAGATAAGTAACCATTTCATACTAATACTTGTTTGGGCCATCACATTATTGTTATTTATCAACCCACCATTAATGAGTTACTTCTTCTGCTTTCTAAGTTGCCTTTTTATACATAAGCTATTTCAAATGCCTTGGTTGTGCTTATACATGATTTTTTTCTATTGTCCTACAAAAGAGGGGGAGAGGATGTTGGTTCACATCTCCACCTACACCCACTTTTAAGTCATAAATATTCTAAAGCTAATGAAAAAGTTGAAAATTGAGAATTTAATGCTACCCATATTTATGTCCATGTCATTTGATAACAGGAGCATATAGTGTTACCCAGTTGTCTGGATTTTTTTCTTTATGATATTGAGCTGATGTGTATACTTGTGATTTTCATCATACTTTTCCTTTGCTTCATACCATAATAGATAAATTTACATTATTATTTTATCTAATTAAGTTATCTGAATGACCTCCCCATTCAAGCAAAAATTTTATTTAAAACATTTGAATCATTCCATAAAAATTTAGAAAACTAGAACTGATCTGTTCTGGACTATGAAATCACCAGTTCTTTTACCTCATTTTCACAATCAGGTTTTAGTAACTAATTGTTTTGTTTTGAAGATTACTTGCACATTTTTCATTGTCTTTTTGAAAAAAAATCAAAATAGGTGATTCCTTGTGTGATTTTTTTTTCAAATTGAGCATCTGAATTTAACACATGCATGTTGGTTTTTTTACTGCATGCATTTAAGAAAGCACATATCAGATAGCATTCCATCCATTTTTTGGATTTTAATAGTAAAAAAATATATGAATAACTTTTTAGAATAATATTACCATACTCTTATTAGATGAGTATGTTTACTTTCACAAAATGGAATTAATATCTTCATCTGCAAACTGTCATTGAGAACAATACATTAAAGATAATTCACACTACATAAATATCTGGTTAAATTTGGTGCACATAAAAGTGATTGGGATCAAAAATTAAATTGATGATTTTTATCAATAAATAGATATGGAAACAAACTGTCTGCTCTTTGGTCAGGTTGTTGTCTCTTTGACATATTCCCCATTTCCATTCTCAATTTTATGATTATTTAACTCTTTTTGTTTTGTTATCCTGAATCTCTAAAATATCTCCACTTCATGACACCATTTTAAAATGTGCTATTTGCACTTAGTAATTTTGAGAACTCTGGAAGAAACATTCTCTTAAGTCTTTTGAGTAAAATTCTATGGTAATAATTTTCTTTCCAAAATGTGAATAACTGACATTGTAAATAATAGTTATTTACTAATTATATATCATTTAAACACAGCATTATGTTTTGTAACAACTGATATATTCTTCTTTTCAAGGTTGTAATAAAGTAAATTGATGATACACAAGCTCATTGGCTTATTTTATCAAACATTCCTTTTGTACAAAATAACCAGTTATTGTGCTTGACCTGTTAATTTTAAAATTCCTTAAACTATTTGTTTATTTGATACATGACCAACAACACTATATTGTTTTTACTTTTTCATTTAGTCCTACAAATATAAGATCTATATTTTGAACGTGGTACTGTATAGTTTCACTTTCCAACTCTTTGAAAAGATTATGGGCTTTTAATGTTATTAAACATTGCTTCTGTTGTTGCAGACTAAACAATACATATGTTGCCTAATGTTCTAGCAATTTGTTAGTTTTTAAACATTTCTAAGTTGGATCTATCAGCATTTCATCCATTACATCCAAGCAATAAATACTTGATATTTGAAAAAAAACAGTGTCCATCCTTGAAAAAATCAAATAAAATCTGACCACTTGCAATAAGATTGGAAAAGACATGAATAGCTTCTACTGTAATGATTTTGTATGTATAGTATGTGGTTTTAAAGCTAGAATGGCATGTGGATATTAGGAACCAGAGAATGTCAATACTTCTTTAAGTTCATTTAAGGTGCAAAATCTGAAGAAAAAAATAAAATAATACTGCAGTTAGTACTTTTATCTCAGACTTTTCAAAGTTTATGATGAAAATTATATTTTTCATTACTTAAATGATGTTTTTATGTGCATTTTTTCTTTAATAAATGATTATAAGATTATATGGTAATGGGAAAATATGAGATTTTTTAGGTTTCAGACATTTGAAAGTGACTAACAAAATATAGTAAATTTATGTTAATTTCATATTAGGGACACAGTAATCCATCAACTTGTCTCCAATTGCCTTTACAACATAAAAAGAAACAACTTTTCTATGTTAAACCATTGATTTTTTTGGTACATAATTTGAATTGATGGTTGATATTGTCATTGGTTATTGCATGTTCAAATTAAGGTTGTGAAAAACGCCATATTTCTGAATGTTCACATTTGTTTACCATTTTATCTATTAATTACTTTGTTAATTCATTTTAATGACGGGTGTAGACACAGTAGTAAATTCCATTGTATTTTTATTCTATGATATCATATATAATCAAGCTAGTTAGAATTACTCTCAATAGTTTTTGAAACGTTTTGTTAAAATTAAAAATACTGTTTTTTTTTTGTCTGTTCACCAGTCAATCTTACATCAGATAAAGGGATATAACTGATTTTAGAAGTGCTTAGTTAGCTTATACTTACTAACTGCCTTGTATGCCATAACCTTATACTTAAGCTAAAGTAAAGCATCTGTTCTTTGAATTTGTTATCTTTTGATAAGGAAGCTTGTATTTGATCTGTACTTAGAAATTGTGTAGTGTTGTAAGTGTTCCGTCCAAATTTTTTGTACATCACTTTATATGTGAAGATCTGTGTCAAAATCATGTATCACTGAAAATTAAAATCCATTTTGTATCTTTGTCTTGTTGTTCCAGTGCCTACTGAGAATAGTGACACATATGTTAAATATGGAATGGGAAGTAACTCTTATATGATATTCATGATTGGCTTTGGTCGAAATTTAACAGAATGTCACAAGGATGTAACAAGCAATTTGGAGAAAAGAATTTTCAGTATCATTACTGTTTTAGAGGAGAAGCAATAACAACAACAAAAACAGTGTGCAGGGATGTGACTCTGATAGGAAAAGGTGTATGGTTAGAAAGGGTTAACTGTGAAAGTGTAATTACTGTTCAATATCATGTGCCAAAAATCTCCTTTAAATACTTCAAAAAATTTCAACACCAAAAACTGCAGTAAAAGAACAAAATAATCAGCCAAAAAATCAAATGTCTTTCCACTGAATGGTGTAAAGACCTAATATTGAAAATTCCTGTAGAGTGGAAATTGATATCAAACTTTCAGTAAATAAAACATTTATTTTGTTCAACCACAAAATCACAAGTAATCATGATTGCCCACATATAAAAAAATAGTATGAAATGATTTTAAGTTGTACATGTCTGTCTGGCAGGTAAATGACCTCGACCTCATTTGCATGGTTCATTGGTCAATGTCCGGTTTTCGTGGTTAGGTCTGTTTCTATGAATTAAATAATTCATTTTAATTTTTTTTGTTGTCCAGAATTATTGCAAGGTGTACATGTTGGTCTGGCATGGTTCATCTGACCTTGACCTGGTATACATGGATAATTGATAATGATAACTTTATGTTATATTTGTACTAAAACCTTTATCTAAAAGACTTTCAACATAAAATCAATCATGATCAATAAAGCGGGTGAAACGTTTCAGGGTGTGACTCTTGCAACATCAATTTTTATACGACCGCAAAAAAATTTTTGTGGTCGTATATTGGTATGACGTTGGCGTCGTCGTCGTCGTCGTCGTCGTCCGGCGTCGTCGTCGTCGTCGTCGTCCGGCGTCGTCGTCCGAATACACATTAGTTTTCGCACTCTAACTTTAGTTTAAGTGAATGGATCTCATTGAAATTTTACCATAAGGTTCAATACCACAAAAGGAAGGTGGGGATTGATTTTGGGGGTTATGGTACTAACAGTTAAGGAATTAGGGGCCAAAAGGGGCCAAAAATAAGCATTTTTGTAACTTCCAGACATAACTTGTGTGTAAGTGTATGGATCTCTCTGACATTGTACCACAAGGTTCCATATCACAAAGGGAATGCTGGGATTGATATTGGGGGTAATTGTCTCCAAATTTTAGGAATTAGGGGCCAAAAAGGGGCAAAAAACAAGCATTTTTCTAGTTTCATGACAATAACTTGTTTGTAAGTGTATGGATCTTTATGAAATTGTACTACAAGGTTCCATATCACAAAGGGAATACTGGGATTGATTTTTGGGGTAATTTCCTCCAAATATTAGGAATTAGGGGCCAAAAAGGGGCAAAAAACAAGCATTTTTCTAGTTTCATGACAATAACTTGTTTGTAAGTGTATGGATCTTTATGAAATTGTACTACAAGGTTCCATATCACAAAGGGAAGGCTGGGATTGATTTTGGGGGTTTTCCCTCAAAATTTTAGTAATTAGGGGCCATAAAAGGGCAAAAAAAACATGCATTTTTCTAGTTTCAGGACAATAACTTGTGTGTAAGTGTATGGATCTTTATGAAATTGTACTGCAAGGTTCCATATCACAAAGGGAAAGCTGGAATTGAGTTTGGGGGTAATTGCCCTAAACGTTTAGGAATTTGGGGCCAAAAAGGGGCCAAAAAACAAGCATTTTTCTAGTTTCCAGACAATAACTTGTGTTCAAGTGTATGAATCTCTCTGAAATTGTACTGCAAGGTACCATACCACAAAGGGAAAGCTGGGATTGAGTTTGGGGGCGATGAATCATAAGGGGGTTCAAAAAATTGGGGGGGGGGGGGGATTTTTTTGTTCCTTTTTTTTCTTTAACATTTTCCATTTTAAATTGGTTATTTCTGATTTATATATAAAAGCAAATAATAATGATATGGTTTGAATAGGCATACATGTGAACCTCCCGACGGGAGTACAATAATCCCGTTTTCAGGGGTCTCCTCCCGACCTCCCGTTGAAAAAATCCCGTGTATGAAATTTTTCATGAATGAAAAATTTCTGCCCAACATAACATCTCAGGCATCTGGTGTAACTGACATTACCTGAAGTTATATCTTACCTGTAAATCAATTTACATGCATAATTATATGGCTTCACTTGTCAGCTTGGGTGTCAAACATACTGGTAAACAACAATTTTTACCTCAGGCTAACTGCCGTTGTGTAACAAAAACTGTGTATTTATTGGGTTACTTCTCTTGATTTATCCTGTTTTAAGTTACTTTCCTTTTAATAATGAAAATTTTTAAAAGAATATAAATAAAATATAAATTGAACAAATAATCATAAAAGGATGGTTATTAAATGATTTTAAATGTCTTAGGACAAATAAAAAAATAATAATTTGAAAATTATTTGAGGATTCTATACTTCCTTTTAAGGCTTAAATTGAAATTTATATAATAACTATGACCCTAACTTTACAGATAGAATGAATTTCTGAGTTTGCAAATAAAAACTATTTGCAAGAGAAAAAATAAAAAAATAAAAACTATTTGCAGACAGCTAAACAAATGTTCTGGTTGCAATGATTATTTTATAGAATATGAAGTAAAAAATTTAAAGAACATACTGGAAAAAAACAATGTTAGATTGAACATGTAGAATATAAAGATGGAGAAACTTTATAAGTACAAGGGTACTATAAACATAATAAATTGGTTGGAAAGTTAAAGAAAACACACTTTAAAAGACCATTTTTACAGCACACGGTTACATTTACAACAAAATTAATGTCGATTAAAAACCTCCTGATCTGAGTCCTAATCTCCTGACCAAAATTTCCCAATCTCCTGATCTGAGTTTCACAGTCCATCACATGTATGAATAGGTAAATTGAAAATTTTTAAGTTCTTATACCACTTTCATTCTGTGTCAGAAACCTATGCTGTGTCAAATATTTAATTACAATCCAAATTCAGTGCTGTATCAAGCTTGAATGTTGTGTCCATACTTGCCCCAACTGTTCAGGGTTCGACCTCTGCGGTCGTATCAAGCTGCGCCCCAGCGGAGCATTTTTTTTAATTTGAATTTATTATCTAAAAGAAATGCACTACGAAATAACTGTGTTCTCGGGCCACATGTATGAATAGGTAAATTGAAAATTTTTAAGTTCTTGGACCACTTTCATTCTGTGTCAGAAACCTATGCTGTGTCAAATATTTAATTACAATCCAAATTCAGTGCTGTATCAAGCTTGAATGTTGTGTCCATACTTGCCCCAACTGTTCAGGGTTCGACCTCTGCGGTCGTATCAAGCTGCGCCCCAGCGGAGCATTTTATTACCTTTATTGCAATTGTTGAGTTATTTTCATAGATCTTGTATAATTGCTAATCATTTTTGCAGTGCACAGTTTGTACCTATCTAATTAAGATATATAATGATGATTGGCAAAAACACAGAAGTTCTTCAAAAATCCTAGTTTAAGGTCAATTATTTCTTAAAACAAGTCATCCAATGATTTCACCCATATTTGTATTTGTGTAGCTCTTGTATGGAATTTTGTTTTTGCTATGTACAGTTTCTACCTCTTTTTAGCTCACCTGGCCCAAAGGGCCAAGTGAGCTTTTTTCATCACTTGGCGTCTGTCGTCCGTCGTCGTCGTTAACTTTTTACATTTTGAACTTCTTCTAGAGAACCACTGAATGGAATGAAACAAAACATGGCATGAATGTTCCTTATGAGGTGCTGACCAAGTTTTATTACTTTGAAGCCGATCCATCATCCAAGATGGCCGCCAACGGGGGACTTATTTTAACATAGGACCCTATGAGAAATACATACAAATGTCTTCTTTTAGAGAACCACTGAATGGAATGAAACCAAACATAGCATGAATGTTCCTTATGAGGTGCTGACCAAGTGTTGTTACTTTGAAGCCGATTCATCATCTAAGATGGCTGCCAGCGGGGGACTTAGTTTAAAATAGCCCCTATGGGAAATACATACAAATGTCTTCTTTTAGAGAACCACTGAATGGAATGAAATCAAACATGGCATGAATGTTCCTTTTGAGGTGCTGACCAAGTGTTGTTACTTTGAAGCCAATCCATCATCCAAGATGGCCGCTTTGGGGGGGGGGGGAATAGTTTAACATAGGACATCATCCATGATGGCCGCAAGCAGGGGGACTTCCTTTTACATAAGAACCTATGGGAAATACATACAAATGCTTCTTCTAGAGGTGCACTGAATGGAAGGAAACCAAACATGGCATAAATGTTTCTTATGAGGTGCTGATGAAATGTTGCTACTTTGTTGCCGATTTACTGTACAAGATGGCCACCAGGATTTTTTATTAAATTACAGGGCCAATATTAAACCAAATTTGGCCTCACTCATTATTAGGTGTTATCAGGTATCTGTTATGATTTTAATCTATTTTTACATGATTTCCAAAACCAAAGTAGAATCAGGTGAGCGACACAGGCTCTTGAGAGCCTCTAGTTATTATTTAGTTTTCAAAAAATTTGTAAAATTTAAAAAAATTAGTAAAAAAATTGTTATGGGCAACAACTTCAATTAGAACTAATTCAATAGTTGCAGTCATATTGGCTTTCTCATTATTGCTGATCATTTTAGCTATTTACAGTTTTTATCTATTTTTTGTGAAGCCTGCGAAATTTAAACTTCATGAAAGCGAGACATAGCGATACTAGTTTCCGTTGTCGGTGGCATCAACATTTAGTTTCAGTCTTGTGTATTTTGGGGCCCTTTATAGCTTACTGTTTGGTGTGAGCCAAGGCTCCGTGTTGAAGGCCGTACTTTGACCTATAATTGTTTACTTTTAATACAGTGTGACTTTGATGGACAGTTGTCTCATTGGCACTCATACCAAATCTTCTTATTTAT